CAGTCCTCGTATTTGTGCAAAATATTTTCCCGACCATTTGAAAATATTGCAAGCTAAGCATTCCTTGATAAGCGTCATGATGCGCGTCTTGCTGAGGCCATATGTCAAGATTGTTCTACCATGTGTCTCGAGCATCTCAGCTAACGCTTGTAAAGCTTTTTCATTGGATACATTAGTATACAATGACGTGACATCAAAGGACTCGATCGCGCAATCTGAGGTGAAATTCGTTTTGCGCAAGAGACCAAGAAAATGATTAGTGTTGCTCAAATGAGCAGGTATTTTGCACAAAAGTTGGCTGATAATTTTATTGAGGAACCAGGCTATACGGTCGGTTGGTCCGTTGACACAACTGACAATGGGTCGTATCTTGTACGAACTAGCGGCTTCGGATTGCATCTCGGACGTAAGGAGTTTGTGCGTCTTGATCAAACTGTAAAAGACAGGGCATGCGGGTGTATCTATTTTAAGCCGACTAAGAAACTTCTCATTCAAACCAGCTCCTTTTCCTATCACTGTCCATATGTGGTTTAACCGTTTGCATTGCGTCAGAAACTCTTTCTCATTCGAGGGTTGGTAAACCGTTTTATCTGACAAATGTAACTCGGTTATCTCACGATCTAGGGCCTGAGGCATGACGACGAATTCGCCGCCTTTATCGCTGACCGACAAGCGGATGGTACCGTTGTTGGTCAGTTCCTTCAACTCTTTAAAACCCTGCTGCTGTGCGTATGTCAAGTTGAATTTTCTCACACTTTTATTGTCATTGAGAACTTTCAATATGCTCAGTGACAATATCCGGAACTTGATGTCTGCGGCAGCATAAGACTCGGGCTCTTTGTAGAACGATGATGGAAATGGAATAGATGGTAACGTTCGTCTACTCAGAGTATTGGCGGGTTGTGTGTTAGCATGCCTTAGCTTGACCCGAAGCTGGTCTCTCAATCTTTGCAATGATCCTACAACACCAACACTACGGTATGTTCTCGCGTTCACATTTTGTGTAGGTGCAAAGGAAGGTCCTAAACTCAGCAATTCAATGGCGTTTTGCAAAATCTGAGCATTACCTAAGACCGTGACTCTTGCTGTACTTTCGTTCTGAGTGGCGTGAGTTGCTGCGCTAGTAGTATGGTGATCAGTTGACGATTTTCACCAACTCCAACAAAACTCCGCTTACCTTCACTTAAGAGTTTTTTCGAATTTTTGACAAAGCGCGGACTTGATATTAGACCGCAGAGAGTCGCATATCTTTCGTGACGCAATCTCAATCCTCCTCCATTCAAAATCACTTATATATCGTCGACATGATTGTTCTTTTGCTTTGCACTTCAGCAAGCAAGAGTATAACATGCGTTGTTTTTCTTTGATCACCACATTGAGCATGTTCTTGTAAAGTCCGCGTATTTTTGGATGATCTTCCGATAGTCCGCATGTTGCTCCTAATTTCTTATTTGTGATGAAGCGAGGGAGCGTATCGGTCGACTTGCATCGTTTGAGGAAGATTAGCTGTTGGCGGATGACGACAACCTTCTGACGAAGCGCTAAGGCTTCGCTTAGTAGTGAGGACAGATTCGTTTGGCGATACGTTTGCGATTATCTTGTAAGTCCTCTTATCTTTGAACCTGGGCATGGTTTCTCTTGGTATGAACAATTCCAATTACAATTAATTTCACTTGAGACGAATCGAATGGCAGCTAGGATGAGGTGTTTGGCGGCTCAGAACGTGTATCACTATAACTGACACCTTTTCAGCCTCTGAAGACGGCGTCCTGCCGAAACGTCAGGCAATAAAGTTGTATCACCATTAACAACCTGTATACGGCACAGCAAAGTAATTGGAATTGTTCATACCAAGAGAAACCATGCCCAGGTTCAAAGATAAGAGGACTTACAAGATAGTGTGCACATTATTTTGGGACAACCTGTATTTGGTAAAGTTTGAAGAAAAAAATGGCTAAGCGGTACATCCGGCATACGTCAATCTAAAAACCGTCTGGAGGTGGTTTTTGTTTCAAAATCCGTGCGAAAAGATGGTCCAGAATTCACCCAATATCCTCGACATGCGGACTGACAATTTGTGACTAGTTTTACAAGCGCTACACACGTATTCTACAATGGTTCAAAATTTCCCGTGCCACTTCCTGAATGGGGGACGACTGTCGAGATCTTCCAATTTTCGTTTTAGAGGTGTTCAAGATTTTCTTTCGCAAGATTTACTTGTAGATGTTCTTCTCCTGGCAGAAACTTGACAGGACTTTGGTTCCAATCTAGTGACGTCTTTTACTTTAGCTACGATTGTTCAACGGAAGAATTCCATCTATATTACAAAATTCGTCCTAAACAGAAGAAGTGAAACATTTTTGTGACCTTCATTCCGGCGACCATTCTATTCTAAAGCGGTCGAAACTCAACAGCAAAAGCGTTGAGTAGACGCGTTTCTACTGTAGTGCATTCATATTTGCCTTTTCGCTACAGGTGAACTACATAAGTTATGGGAGCAGTACATGCCCCTGAAAGACACTGGGAGGATTACGTCAATCCTATTATAACAAGCTCGGGAGTATTGAGGATCGCGATGCAGTTGAAGAAATTGGAATCGATACAGATCATTTTTCTAATCATAAACGTGTAAAGTACTTTAACATCATTTTTATGAATTTTGTCTTATAGTTCTGCACTCCTTAGTCCGAGCAACTGACGGCGCTTTTTCAGCGCGTTCTGTTTACCATTCTATAACTCATATTCAGATCCTTTCTTTATCGATTTAAAATCGTGTTCATGCAGGGTTACTTCTAACAAGGGAAGGAAGGTCGGTCAAAATGGCCTTTCAAGATGCTATGGATACCATCTCGTAGGACTTCGAACGCTGATTTCAAATCCCGTCCTTATCTGTGGCGCTTTTTGGGCGAAGAATTATGAGGGGTTTTAGGGCGTGATCGAGACAAGTACAGTCAGCAACGTCACATCGCTATGTACTGTCTGGTGTAGTATTTAGTATGGTGGTCAGGCCGAAGCTACCAGGTTCGATTCCACATCCTGGTTTTCGTTCTGCTGGTCTATAAAAAACGTGTATGAGCAGGGGCATTGTCTATACACCACCCCTGCCTTCTTTTAATTGCAAATTTCTTCAAAAAAAGTTTAATCACTCGATGTTTTCAACAGTTTATGTGCACTGACGAAAGGAGAGGACAAGAAAGCAACGAATGAAGACTACTTCTGAACAGTCCAAATGGTCTATCAAATTGGCAGGGAATCAATACTGTGCGGCGTTGCTGGGGACCAGGAATAAACCAGGAAAGTGAGACGTGATGCAGTATCTGATGGTATATCAATAAGTAGCTGGCTTACCCGGCTCCGCCGTATGTTCCGAATAGAAAATTCCATTTCTCAACCGATCCGAACCAAACTTGGCACACATACACTTCGAGCCCCGGCGGGTGTCACAGTCCACTTTTCGTTATCGATTGATGCCGATTTTATCGATTTTTTGCAAAATTTGAGCTAGGGGGCTGGGATTTGGCACAGGGGGGTAATCGAGCATGCTGATTACGAATACAATATTAGTTTTCGAAACCGTGCATTACTTTTATCGATTTTTTTGCAAAATTTGAGCTAGGGGGCTGGAATTGGCAGGGGGTGTAATCGAGCATGCTGATCACCCCCACGGGGATGATCAGCATGCTCGATTACCCCCCTGTGCCAAATCCCAGCCCCGTAGCTCAAATTTTGCAAAAAATCGATAAAATCGATATCGATCGATACGAAAAGTAGCCTATGACACCCGCCGGGGCCCGAAGTGTATGTGTGCCAAGTTTGGTCCCGATCGGTTCAGAAATGGAATTTTCTATTCGGAACATACGTACACACAGACAGACATACAGACATACATACAAACAGACATTCAGCTTTATATATAAGATGATAGGAATCTTATGATGGAATCGCGAGCATAAACAACATAATGCAGGTCATGGACGAACATTTCTACCTCCATTCCAAATCACTTGTAGAGACCTCCAAAGAGGGCAGTTATTGCCTTGGAATTCTGATAAAACAAAGAAGGGGTGGTGTATAGACATGCCCATGCTCCAAGTTTTTTGTAGACCAACAAGACGAATACCAGAGCAAGGGAATCGAACCTGTGAGCTTCTGCCTGCAAGACCAACACGCTAGCCACTACACTATGGGCGGTATTTGTCAATCTCCCACTCGCTGTTCAGGCCATTGGGTGTGGTGCGGAAGGCGACAATCCCCTATTTTGTGCCTATCAAAAACTCTCCGGTGTCAAAGTGACACCCCGGGGACTACAGGGGTGGAGGGTGGGGGCAGATACATACTCAATGCCACAAGCAGAAATCCGTGAAAGTCATTGAGACGGATGATACACAGCCTCCATTTTTCGCCAATTGTCACCTTCCGCGTGCCCTCCCCCCCCCCCCAGGCCATTATCAAAGAGTTCCCGGACAGGCGAGAGCGCCAATCCTGTGATTTATCAGAACTTGGAATGTGGTCCGATCTGGCAAGTTTGGCCATGTCGGGCAGCAGAGCCCGCTCTCGACACTGTCGGGCTCCGCTGCCTGACTGCCGAGCCCACACGGCCAAACTTGCTAGATCGAATCATATTCTCCACAGAGAGGAGCCCGAACCAGCTTGGCTTCGTATATCGCAGGTGCCAGTGCCGGCGACTGTGCGGGCTGTTACCCGTACAGGAGCCCCTTTCTATATAGGAGTTTAATCAACACCGCCTCAGACGACACATAGCGTTGTGCCGCTCTTGTTTGTATTTGTGTCGACTTCCGCCCCTCAAAAACCCTCATAACTCCTCACCCAAAAACGAGCCGCAGATAAGGAAGGCAGATTTGAAATCAACGTTCGAAGCTGTACAGATGTTATCCATAGCATCTTGAAAGGCCATTGCGACCGGCCTTCCTTCCCTTGTAAGACAATGAAGCAACACTGCCCCAGGGCCTCAACACTTATCTCTTGTAGCCTTTATCTACTGTAATAAATCTGATTTACTATGTTAGAATTTATAGAGCAGCAAGGCAACTAAATGAGGTAGTTCTGAGAGGTGAGAAAAATCAGAAACACAAGCTGCTCTAGAAAAAAAAGACATCTATAGAAATCTAGAACACCTAACCAATATATCACATCATTCTCCGAAGAAAGCATGTCAAAATATGAACTAATGATTTTCCTGATAAAACATTGTACCAAGTACTGCGAAATCATTGACAGATGTTAAAAACTACAACTATAAACCTGGATAAGCTCCACACCGGAAACAATCTCGGACACATAGTTGAACGTCATTTTAAATGAGCATATCCCAAAGACAACTAACTAATAGTTAGAAAAACTACGCATAAGAACTCTGTAACGACATTTCTGGCAAATCTCGAATCATCAGATAATTACCGAGGTAAAGAGAAAAGTAATGTATGCAATGGCGAAAAGGGTCTTCAAAAGTGCGATGGAAAGATGTAAAAAGCTTTGGACTACATTGGTAAAGGAACACCGAAGACAAACACCTCGTCGTACAACAAATAGAGATCATTATCAACGTCAAATTCTCCACACCAACACTAAGAAATCGAATGGCTACAAGAGGACTAACAAAAAGATAGGATTGGCCAGACAATAGTATGGCGAATAAGACAAAAAGGCGAACAACTTGAAGAAATCTTGTACTAAACTTCGTGCATCAACTCGTCCAGATACTGGAAAGCCCTGCAATAATTGAATTAGCTGACTTAATCTCTGCTAGGCAATGAAGTCAATATTCAATAGCGACGCACTGAACAACAAGGGATGGGTATACATCACGCGATGTCATCGGCTCGCGATTCTCCCGACAAAACAACTGTTACGAGTTCGTTTCATGCCGATAATCTTACACTTAGGCTGTGATAGTTTTTCCAAGCCACTGATCGCGAATAACTATCAAAACCGAGATGCAAGATGATCGCCATAAGACTCGTAACTGTTGTCTTGTTGGGACAATCGCGAGGCGATGAAATGGGGTGATGTATACATGATTCTAGAGGTGATGTCATAGCGTCATAGTTGCCCCCTAGCCCGAACCGCATTCGATGAGGATCTGCTCGAGATACCCGCAGCATTTTAGGTAGACAAGGTTGAGTCCCAGTCAACCGTATACTCCCTTTTCCATCAGCCCAAGCGCAACCCAGGACCTCGCTCACGCGCTTGTAGCTAGTCACTCATTTGCCTCATGAATCGGAGTTTCCACGCAAGGCCGCACTGCGTGCGAGCAATTTTTGCAGAAAGTGAAGCAACTTGTTGCACGGATTTTAGGCATGACCATATGCGGCTAGTACTCGATCAAACTAGCTTCGAGCCGGATTACTAGCGAACTATGCACCCCGAGATATACCTTCAAAAAATATACCTGTTCATTTTGATTTCAATCCAGCAGGGACACTCGCTTATAGTTTTTCTGCTGTAATCCGGTCCCCATCCTTTGACGAATGAAATTCGTGCGACGCAAAATCGCTTCATGTCATCAGCACCTTTCTTGGCTTCCTAAACATACACAGCAAACTCGCGTACAAGGTATATTATAAATGGGACAGTCATATTTTTGTCCATCTGTTGCAACTATTCAGAATTTTCGCAAAATCTCCAGCTTCACCTTCCATGCAATGGTCAATATTCAAACGGCGTAAGCAAAAGAGCTACCAAAGCATCGCCTCAGTTCCGTATATTGCACCAGGTGAAAAAAAAAGCCACAACGACAAGTCCAAGTACTACGAAAAAATAGTGATGACCAACAATTTACAAGCAACATCACAACTGTGTCAACACGCCATCTGAACTTACACAAGCTGTGTATTCCGCCACCAGTGATCTCATGCCGACGTCAGTATTCTGAGACACCAAGGCGCATTTTCTTTCGTATGAATGCAACAGTATTGCTATTTTTCTTAACGCACAATAGCTTCAATATGAAAGAAAAAATGAGGATGGAGGAGGAAGCTGATAAGATGTTTATGCTCTCTCCATACACCTCTTACTTCCAAAAATCTCTGCTATTTCACAGAAACTGTGATCAAAATTTGGTCATTATAGACAACATGCTTCATTGATTTAGTGAAACTGTACCAAAACGTTGCTTCTGATAAGGATGACAATTTTTTTCAAAAAAGTGCGCATACAATACACCCATATCAAATATTTAAGACAAGAAAAATCATGTTCTGCTGTTTTCGGTACTGGAATGCGCGTATTGTTCCCTTCATCGAGAATGGGCGCATATTTTTGTTCAATTTCACCAAAACTTCCAAGTAACCAGTATAAAATCAACAAATAAAGAAGTTCACTTAGAAAAGTATGCCTAGGCATTTGACTGTAGATACACAACAACTGAGAGGACAGGTCTTCTCATGAAATTTCCATGACAACTTTCTATGCTCCGAGAAATCCTACGAGTGCAACTTAGCCTAATACAATAATCGAATGAGATGATTCGCTCAGCGCCGAATGGTGCAAAAGCTGGCAATCAGTGATGTTACGCAGAAAATGGGATCACTATAGAACAAGTCCTTACAATTTGACACTAATGCGAACTTTACAAAACGAAAGTGAGCATTAATCACGGCATACAATTGATATTTCTTTCCCACGCAGTTATATTGAAGATTGGGAAAAGTATCACAATAAAGGCTCGATTGAGAGGCTTTTCGAAACTCTTACCTCGTCGAGTTTGTCTTTTTTATACATCCTGAACAAATCGTCCATGGGAGTTTTCTGACCAGCTAAATACTCCTTGGCCATTTGACAGGCGACCATATGCTGCCGGAGAATGGCCTTTGCATTATTCAGGTCGAAAATCTGAAAGATACATAAAAGATGATGCTGAGGGCACGACCGCTCATCGCAAGCACATATCGATAGCAATTTTATGCAGATGCCAAAATTGTAGAACACCGAACAACTACTTCTCACTCGAACACCTCCTCTTCAATTAACAACAACATTCTAAAGGCAATCTCATCAAATAGCATTGAGGTGACGGGCAACTTTTATTCTACTGCTAAACTATGTTTTTCAATCAATGTACGATTATGCTAATGACAATTCATAAGGAGTGTGGGACGGCGATTGATAGCGAGTTTCCATGTCAGATTCTACCTGTTGGAGTATTTCAAACGATTGCCACTCAAAACAGGATCTTCACTGATAGTAAGAGATCTTCTCCAACATGCTATGAATGATTTCCTTGGATACGCAACGCTAAGGGCAATAAATTCGTTAGAAGTCAATTTATTGACTTTGAACGAATTTATTGGACTATGTTACACTGGTCTTGCTCACATGTTGCCCCGCCACATCAGACACTTACTGAAGAAAAACCTTTAACACTGAAAAGGATCGCCAAGTATCACACATTTACTGAATCGTTGAGGCCCGCATCGTAACTCACTCACATTACAAGTCAAAAGCCTAGTTAAAGGCAGTGCCTCACCAAAATTAGGGTAGTGCGGGTCTCTAATCCTGTTAAAGGACCCCTGGATAGGTGACCGATGCAAGTCCGAATTCATTTGGGCCCTCTTACGCCGAGTTTGCCCTCGAAGTGGCCAGCAAAGCACGATTTGGCCCGCACGGCCGACGCTCGCGTCCCACTTACGTGTTTTAACATGCCCTCCACTTGGCATCCACTTCATATCGTTGCTGTCACTGTGGCGAAGACTAGGCTAAGAAGGCACAACTCGTTCGCGTTGCTTGCACGGGGCTTCCAAAAACGGGGTTTTCGTGCATTTTATGCGATTCTGGACCCGCACTGGGCTAGACAGGAACGAAAAGGCTTGCAAAATGCAAAAATCTCGACAAGAAAATTTTGATAAGACAATGCCTTCAAGGTTCACGCTTGAAAGATGTTGCCAATATATAAATCACACATCAAATTCAAATACCACCATTACACATTAGTTGTGTTCCAAAGAGCACATGATGATAGACAAACTTTCTCTCAAGAGCAATTTGTCTTTTTTGACACATTACTGACACCGTGCAGAAAATTCCATATTCATTACCTTGATTTTTGCTCCTGGATACACTTTATGTACAACATCACCGGTACTCCTCCCAGATTCTCTGTCTAGATAGTGAGAATGGACAAATATGGCACGTCCCGTATAAACTTGAACCCATACATCACCATTTTCTTTGAAAGACAGACGGATGCCATCTCCTATGGTTTGCCTGCGAATCGAGTTCATTGGAGACAAACTTCAAAACTGACCGTATCACATCACCAAATAGCCCAGAAATTACCTGACAAGATGGCAATCTTGTTCCCGTAGCGGATTATTTTCTCGCCCCAGACAATATCGGTTTGAAGCTTGGCCAAATCCACCATCTATGTACATATCGCTGTGTTTAACCTGAAACTAGACAGTTCGTAATTCATATGTTCGCTAATTCAGAAAACAATTTTCTCACCTGCAACCGTCCAATCTGCACTTCTCTTTCATAGTACACAAAACATCCCCAGTTGGAGTCCACTAAATGCAATATCAGTCGAAATTTGGTAAGTAGTTATAATCAAACATAGGTTTTGACAGATGCAAAGCCATTAACATCGTCTCTAATAAACATTTGCTGTACAAAATAGCTATTTTGCAATGGGTAATACCGCGCTGGTCAAGCTTAAAGGAGCGCTGAATTCGAAATTCAGAGCTGATAAACCACAACCATACCAATCCGGGAGACACGCTCTCATTTGGAAAGAAAAGAGGGGAAATGAATTTGCCGAGATACTAATTCAACAGAAAAAGCATTCTTTTGCAAAGCAAAGCAAGCAACAGATGACTGAATCACACAAGCGAGTCAAGACGTATAACAAATCCCTCTACCGAGCCCAACAAAAACAGGAGGTAACAGATGCAACATCGTAGCGAGATGCATGAACACAGACATCAACCACAAAATATGCCCCTCCCCCTCCCTTCAGCCCATTAAAAAAGTCAAATTGAAATCTAAATGCGCTATCCAAATTCGTCGCCAAAGATTCGCGAGGGTTCTCCGATCAGAATGTGAATGTCGAGAAAGTGAGGATAAGCGGGAGACTGTCAAAACTCAGTAGACAATCTACTGATTTGTTATGTCGTACAAGTTGTAGTGACATACTTTACTTGTCATATGTGAGCACAAACAAATCACTTAAATTGTTTACTGTAGGGAATGTCGTGGTTTTAGATAAGAGGGCAAATAATATACCAAAACCCTTGCTTGCAACGTTCACAAGTGTGATGAAACTGCTTACCTGGGCAAGATGGCGGCTCGAAACTGTTTACCTTCAGCTTGTTCCCAAGGACAAACTCCGCATTTACTGAAATGGTATGTGGGAGACGTTTACTTCGCTTGAAGTGACTACCCTTGACAATGAGAACAAACGTTCCACTACAAGTTCTGGTAGACTGAAACAAGCAATACTAAACTTACAAAGATTGCTGTATGGTTGTCCTGGTCCCGGACGTGACAACAACTTCTTGTCCGCCTCATTTGCAGCATTTATGAGCTGATTTGATTGCGAAACATTGGGCTGTACTTGTACTGCACCATCACTGGACCTTGACGGTTGCACAGGCAAGTGAAGATGCGCATGCGGTTGGCCGAGCGCATTCTCCGCAAAGGGCATTTGCTGCGGATGTACAGCTTGCGAGTTTTGCATTTGAGATGGTTGACGCATTTGCATTGCATGATTCTGCATCTGCTGATGCTGCTGAAACATATGCTGCTGAGCAGATGACATCTGAGCAGGATCGGGAGCAGGACGATTCGTTTGATATTGCCCTTCGAATCCACGGACGTGCGAGAAATCCGGAGTTTGCTGGTGTTGCTGCAGAATTCCATGAGGTGATAGCATTTGCGAGGGCTAAACGTGAACATCTGATGACACTGACTAGAAATTCCAATCTGTGAGTGATTGAAGCAAATAGAAAAGTGACTACCACTACCGTTGTCACGAAAGAAAATCGAAAATGGAAAAATGACTACCACTACGTTGCTACGAAAAAGAAATCAACTCACAACAACTGCCTTGTCAGATACTCCAAACATATGACTATTAGGAGGAGCAGTAATCTGTAATCAAGAAATCTGGACACTATGCATACTTTTATGATTGTGAAAGTGAAAAATTACAGCTTTTTGTGCCCAAGGAGGTTGGGGATATGGAGGTCCAAAATTTGGTCCTTAACATGTAACTCTCAATTCGCAATAAACTAGCGTAGTGAGTAGGACTAACCTTGAGGAGAAACTTTTTGCTGTTGACCAAATGGTGCTGGGTTCCAACCTCCTTCAGGGCGGAAATCTCTGTAAAATGCATTTGGATGAACACTCGCACATAAAAAGGACCCTAAAAATAATTTTGTGTTTTACAGAATACATAAGGTGTAACGCTGAATTTGGTGTTGCAGCGCTTTCAGAGTGCTAGTCGATGCACTTTTAACTCATATACGAGAAGATCGACTGCGAAAGATAAAGAGAACTAGGTGAAAGAAAACAATGAAAACCTGTAAAGTGTAGTAAGCCGGTCAACGTCAGGATCACCATCGGGAGGAGAACGTTGTTCCAGCTTCAAAGACGCAAGATCCAAATTGCTAAGGTTGCTCAGAGTAGGGTTCATAATACGTTCGCAATGGTATGGGTTAACGCACACCTTCAATGTGATGTGGTAATAAAGTTCTCCCAGTAAAATCTAAGTAGCCCAAGCCTTTACCGAATCACATTTCAAGTCGAAAGCACACTCGCAAATGCTGAGATGACGCAACTCATTTTTGTGCAAATCCGGCCACCGAAACACGCGAGCATAGACCACATGCGGGAAGCCTTTACGACCAGCAACCTAAAATTTGTCAAAACAGGATGATCAGACAATAGGTGCTGCCTAGGTCACAACGGTATCTGGTAAAAAATCAAAGAGAAAATATCCAATAGCACCCTAACTTATTCATCCTCTCTCTCCCCTCATCTCGCACCAGAAAGTAAATTTGAACAAAAAAAAAAACGTACTTCTAGAAATTTGCTAAAATTCGATTAACACCACCAAATACTCTGACTAAGCATCGTCCTTCGCCTTCTAAGAAAAATTGTGCAAGTAGTTCTCTCTAATCTATTCCTCCCTCTAGTTCCTTTCTCAATCGCATATGAGACGAAAGGACATTGTTACTGTACCGCGTATAAATCCACCCACAATGACGAACTCACTTGTAGCCGTCCGTCGAGTGTTCGCGCTATGGTAACGCATTTGTCTGCTTCCTTTCCTTCACTTCCGCAACAAGCTATCAAAGCATCCAGCTCATCTCTTTTGTCCTTCAACTTCTTCGTCAACGATTCGATTGCTTTTCGTGAAAATTCTTCATCCGCACTCTGCAAGTAAATATTCCACAAAGCCGAAATGCGACAGTGCACTCAACACACTGAGAAAAACTACTACCAAGTGACTAGAGCCCAACACAGTAGTAAAGTCAGCGTACTTTATTGAATTGCATAAGATAAGCGACGATTGTTGTGCATGCATCACTCGCGCATGGCCGCGCCAGTGGATGTGACGAACTGGACGAAGATCTGTTTTCCGTGTTTATCCGACCACGACGACGTGGTTGTTCTGTGAAAGTAGTCGCTGATGACGCAGAATCGGAGAATGGAGAAGCACTCGGTCGTTCTGCAGCTGCAAAATGTATGGGACTCAATCATTCACTGGGACCATTGACTTTTGACAGATTGAAACATGTTTTTTGAAACTTTTAAATTATCTACACAGAGTTTGTAGGTGAAGAGTGTTGAGAAAAGAACAGATTAGGAAAACTCTAAAGACTGACAAGAATCTGGACGACGCCCCAGCATCCCAAACTTGAACGTACTGATTAATTCACACTATGTTTCTACTTCTCAATTCTCATTGATAGTTCGAAAACTAAACCGGACTTCGCTAGCTAACAGCCTATTAGTAACTAGTTGGCTTCCCCAGTCCAGCCCGGGCTATTGTTCACAGAGGACGAAGTAGATGCTATGGTTGCTGCAAGATTACCGCATTGCAAACCCTTTCTCTTCCTTTTCCATGTTATGGATGATGCTTTTCCATGTTATGGATGACTTGTGTTGCGGCATCCACTTCGATTCCAAAATGAGCTTCACTACCCTCCTTTACATGACTATGGGAAAATGCTTGGTTAAACCTGGTACGCCTTCTTCTCCTCCAAAAACATAAACAAATCAATGAATCGATAGAAGGACCCAACAAACCACCGCAAAAATAGCCTATCATCTGCGAAGGTGTCGGAAACATATGTGTGCAAAGTTTCAGCTTGATCGGTTGAGCGGCACGCGTTTCTATAGCGCGCACTAACAAATCTGAGTTTTATATTAATATATATAGGGTGTCCCAAAAGTATGTATACACTGTTTGATCGTTGATATTTCTTTTCCCAAGAAGTCTTTTGCCTACCCGCACGCACCGTTTTGCAGAACTGGTCAACTTAGATTTACAGCATGGAACAAATCATTGATCATTCCTCATTACTGTAGGATTACGGTAGAAACTTCAAAAAGGATTGTTAGGCTGATCACTCCTCATTACTGTAGGATTACGGTAGAAACTTCAAAAAGGATTGTTAAGCATTAAGGGCCCTATTCCGCCCCAGGAAGCAAACCAAACAACCTGAAATTATGCCAATGAACCGCAATAGCTGCTTTTACAATGTTTCCTAAAACAGTGATTACACCAGAAAAGCTTTGCGAACTCGTAAAAAAGTTGAGTTATAAAATTGCGTGAAAACCCTGGTACACCACTTTGTAAATTTTTGGGGAACTTTTTTGAAACACGATTGATCCACAATAGCACTTCAAGCTGAAAGTTCCTACCGTAATTTTACAGTAACGAGAACCGATCGGTGGTTCGCTTTATATTGTACTAGCTGGCTTACCCGGCTCCGCCGTATCCGGACCAAACTTGGCACACATACACTTCGGGCCCCGGCGGGTGTCACAGTCCACTTTTCGTTATCGATCGATGTCGATTTTACCGATTTTTATCGATTTTTTTGCAGAGTTCACCTACAGGGCTAGGAGTTGGCACAGGGGGGAAGTGAGCATGGGGATTCCGAATACAACATTAGTTTTCAGGATCGTCCATTACTTTTACCGATTTTATCGATTTTTTTTGTAAAGTTTGACCTGCGGGGCTGGGAGTTTGCATAGGGGGGTAATCGAGCATGCTGATTACGAACACAATATTAGTTTTCAGGATCGTCCATTACTTTTATCGATTTTATCGATTTTTTTTGTAAAGTTCGACCTGCGGGGCTGGGAGTTTGCACAGGGGGGTAATCGAGCATGCAGATTACGAACACAATATTAGTTTTCAGGATCGTCCATTACTTTTTCGATTTTATCGATTTTTTGAAAATTTGAGCTAGGGGGCTGGAATTTGGCACAGGAGTGTAATCGAGCATGCTGATCACCCCCCTTGGGAGTGATCAGCATGCTCGATTACCCCCCTGTGCCAACTCCCAGCCCCCTAGCTCAAACTTTGCAAAAAAATCGATAAAATCGATATCGATCGATGACGAAAAGTAGCCTATGACACCCGCCGGGGCCCGTAGTGTATGTGTGCCAAGTTTGGTCCGGATCGGTTCAGAAATGGAATTTTCTATTCGGAACATACGTACATACAGACAGACAGACAGACAGACATACAGACAGACAGACAAACAGACATTCAGCTTTATATATAAGATAATTTAAGTTGAAGCCAGCTCTAAAAACGGAACCTGAAGATGGGCAAAAGACTTTTTGAGAAAAGAAATATCAACGATCAAACAGTGTATACATAGTTTTGGGACACCCTGTATGCCACACCAAATGTTCATCTCTTTCCCTTACAGTGAGAGCTTCAAAAGTTCACAGTCATACCATAGATGCATTTCAAAACGATATTGTCATTGCCGTGGCAAATACAGACGATAAAGTACAGCCTCTACATAAACTCATTCGATTCGATGAGACTTGAGAGCTCAGTCAGCATATGTGAATCCCCATACATAATGAGCATCGCGTGTCAAAAAAACTGGTGGTTGTGTTGGGAATATATACTTGAAAAAGCGCTCCAGTGGATGAACTAAAGTGATACAACATAGTCAAAAACATTTCACACTCTACAGGGTGTCTCAAAAGCATAAGTGCGATAGGGGGGAGGGGCGGGCCCTTTCTAGGTGAAGGGGGTTCTGCTACTCCCATCCTTGTAAGGTGAAGGAGGGTGAGTCCTGAAAGCAAAATGCCCTACAAGTTACATACCATTCGAAAGCTAAGGTCATCTATATATAAAGCTGAATGTCTGTTTGTCTGTCTGTATGTCTGTCTGTCTGTCTGTCTGTATGTCTGTACGTAGTTCCGAATAGAAAATTCCATTTCTGAACCGATCCGGACCAAACTTTGCACACATACACTTCGGGGCCGGGCGGGTGTCAGAGGCTACTTTTCGTCACCGGTCGATATCGATTTTTTCGATTTTTGTCGGTTTTTTGCAGAGTTCACCTACGGGGCTGGGAGTTGGCACAGGGGGGGGGGGTAGGTGAGCATGCTGATTACGAATATATTATTGACAGGGCCGGGCGGAGCCGGGTTTGCCACCTAGTGTAGAATGAACGTAGACCGTCGACTTTTTTAAGGTCTTCTGTGTCGCGAGATATGAGGGACTTTATGTACTTCATATAACAAGTGATTTTGTGCGCTCACTTTCTGCTCTCCAAATGAATGCTACGCGAAAGTCGACGGTCTACGTTTGTTAATGAAGATTTGCTCTGTAACAAAGATAGATAAGCAGTGATTAGGTCTTCGTTTGGCAGAAATTTGCTGTTGAAAATGGAATGATTTCAGATAAAATGCAGTGTATCTCTCGGTAGAGGGAGGCTAAAAAGGAATCGTCGGCCTATGTCGAATCCGCTTTTCCAGAGCTTTCGAATGGTATATAGAATGCTGGGCGAAAAAACTTGCCAATTTTTAAAAATGGAGTGGAGATATTTACTATTAGCTTGCTCCACCCAGCTCCTCCAACCCCCAATGGGGAACGGAACTTACCTACCCGAGATAATTTCGCACCTCATGGGTGTGTGTCTGCGGGGTATAATTAGGCATAGCGAGCTCGCTGATTCCAGATGCTCCTTAGGATACAGCGCTAAGCTAAGCCCCGCCCACACATTGCACCTTTTTGGCATAAAACCAAGACATGCCAGAAAACTTGGCAATACCTGAGGACATCGAAGCTGGCTCAGCGCCAGGCTAAAAGATGGCTGCGAGGCTCAAAATGGAGCTAATGGAACGAAAAAAGATGGTGATAATTAGGAGAATTAGGCATATGAATGGAACATGTTTCGAGAAATTTTGTAAGTCATATAAAGCTAACTCATAGTCATAAATACATTGATTATATAGATAGAATATTTAATTCACAAAAAATGTGCAGCGTCCTGTACACATTGATCGTTTGATAGACTAGCCCACCTTCATAGTCTTTTATCAACAAGGTTACATCCTCAGAGCATGCTGTTCTCACTAGAAGAATGAGTCATTTTATCAGACGTTCCGAAAGAAACAGTGAAAAAGCACTTTTACACGCGTTCTAAAACATGCCTTATTTTGTTTGTCGGGATTTCTTAAGCTAAAAGTCGAATTCACCAAATTAAAGTTTCGGCTCTGTAAGAGAAGACAGCGCAAAACCAATAGCATATTTGAAAAGAGCGCCTCAGAAAACCCCTAAATCTGCATCTTAATCGAAATTGAGCAGATAGTTGCTGAATATCAGTTTTTTGATTTTACTGAATTCCCGGTTTCATGATTGATGGATGCATCGCGAAAGCGTCGATGGATGGGGGCGGGGCTTAGAATACACACAGACTAGGCCCTGTACACTATGCTAATTGCGTATCTGACTGCTCATAATACCTAAGGTATGCTGCGGCAAGCCTTTCGGGTAGGTAAGTTCCCGCACCCCCTCCAATGCATTGGCTTTTGTGGGTCACCGGAGCAAGCATATTTTGCAGCCGGGAAGCTCGATGGGTCACCAAGCTATAAAGCATTCGAAAGCTGAGATTAAGGAGAATCGACCTAGGCAGTCGGCTTTTTTCTACCTCTTCTTAGCAGTAGGATATAAGGGATTCATCTGACCAATATATCTACTGATTCGCTTTACTGACAAAAAATGAATTTAAATCCCTTCCATCTCATAAAAAAAGTTATCTTACTATCGTAGTCATTCATCATTCACGGTAATCACTGCGTATCACATTGAGCTGTTTTTGCAATCTTTAGCAAGACCTTTCTGGTTTTTACGAGCATCGACAACTTGGTAGAACTTACATAGATATAGACTTAATTATTAGTTGTTTTTTTTTCTTCTTCTCTTACAAGCAAAGGCGTCTGTCTGTTTATCTATCTTAAAACTGTGAGAAGCCTTAGAAACTTTAAGGCTTGAAAAATGCTCGAAAATTTTTTTCCAAAAAACGTGGAAGAAAGAGGCAACGAACAAGCATCAATCATTTAGGTTCTTGAAAAAAAAATTCAAATGTTTTTTGACTCTTACGTTCGTTTTTTGTGGGTTTATATTTCCAAGTTATTTTTTCTCGAATTTAGTTAATTTTTTATGCTACAGTATCTATTGTAGACGCCATTGATAGTGCGAAAAAACAACTACTGTAATAATTCACATTGTATATGGAAATTCTTATTTTCATGGAATATATGGCTGTTGTGTTTCACGACTGAAGTGAATCTCCAATAGCTTTTTGATCATGATTCACACTCAGATTAACTTCCCAGATCAGCCTCAAGTGAAGGGAGTCATCCGGGTTCTGGCCCAAATGTGAAGGGGGTAAGATCCATTGCTCCCCCTATCGCACCTCCATTGAAAAGTGTGTACTTACTTTTGAGTCAAAAGTAAGTACACACTTTTCAATCGGTAACTCTCTTCCCACAAAGTTTTTTACTTGGCTTTAAGCATTGTTCAGTAGAGCAGGCTTTAACTAAGATTTGCTTTGTAGACTGGATCACCCACCGCTCTCCATTACTGTGGGATTACGGTAGGATGTTTGAAGAGGTTTTAAGCCATTTTTGGCTACATTTTGCCCCAGAATGGATACTCGACAACCTGAGAAATTTATCGTCAGGTTAAACTGAATAGCTGACTCTAAATATGAAATTTGCGCTACACCATAAAACTTTTTTTTCGTTAACTTATGCCAGGTAAACCGCAGTAAAGTTTTTCCGTTTTTCAAATATGAAAAACCATTTAAAACGTTTGAAAACTTGATTCAAGTGTTCAATGAAATCAGCATGTCTGAAACAGAGTTACGCAACTTTTCAGAGATTTTTAGCTCTTTTTGATTTCATAATGGCGTTGTGTGCTGAACGTTCCTACCGTAATCTTGCAGTAATGAAGAGTAATGGGTGATTCGCTTCATACTGTAAGTTGAAGTCTGCTCTACTGAATGACACTCAAAGCTAAGCAAAAGATGAAAACAACACAAGCAAATTCAAGGGAGACTAAGACAATGATAAGGTAAGATAAATTTTGGGGTTATTCGTAGTACTCCCCGCTACTTTTGGACAGAGCCAGAGTATGAAGGAAAAAACACCCCAAACGAGGAGCGCGAAATGGAAGGAAAATGGCGCAAAGTTGAAAAGTCACTTCTCAAACAAGGGATGAATGAAGTGAGAACCCTTGAGAGTCAAATAGTAGAAGTACAAAAAAAATGAATTTCAGTTTTTGCTATTTCTCCATGCTTCGTTTTATAATGGAATCTCTCGAAATGAGGTCTAACAATTTTTCTTCGGGTATATTTCTAGCACTAAAGTGAGCTCTAACAATGATTTGAACAAACATTGGGTGGTTGAAAAGGCTTGCATCACAAGTTCATTCTCAACATTAGTTCATCTGATCATACTAGGAAGAACTAACTGGCACAATCAACTCCGCAAGGACGTCAATCAATATAGCAATCGAATTGATCTTATTTCCCACTTCCATACCATATTTCTCGGCTCCTGTTCCCCTTCCAAACTTTATTTGCCTACAAGGTGTTTTCCTAAGCAACTTCCATACTCCTACCTCCCTACCAACTTCACAGCTTGAGAAAACCCAAAACTTCACTCAAGATGCGTAATGTCCTTGTAATATCTGACAAGGAACGAATGAATATTGTACATAAAAAAGGTGAGCATGAATGGTGCTCTAAAAAAACTTCTAGTTCTTGTCGAATTCGCGAAAAAGTCGAAAAACGAACCAGAAAATTCTTCTTTAAAACTTCTTCCCGCTAAGCGCCTCCTCAAAAAATGAGGAGGTCAGGACTGATTACTGAAGGTTTTGAAACCATTTTAAATTCATCAGCTAGAATCCAAGCCATCTGTGACCAATGCCGTATGCGGTATCCTTTGATTCAACTGGCTTGGCGACTGGAAGGCGGGCTTTGTAACCTGATTAAGGCTAGATAATGATCAGAGAGCACGCGCGCGAGAGAGACTGCGTCGCGAGCGCGAACGGCTTCAAATAGTTCACAAAGCCTCGCCTTTCAGCCGCCAAGTCAAATGAATCAAAGGTTATGTCGGCCGCACGCAACCTCCGTTGACATACTAGCAATACCTTTTACCTTGTCGAAAAAGTCTGTGTTTCGCTGCTCTTTTCCACACAGTTCGCTTCCATTACTTCCGGGGCATGTCTACCAGCTAAAAAAGGAGAAGAATCAAGAATAAGGCAAAAATTGTGTGCATACGCGCAATAGTTTTCATATTACCAGGGCTCGGCACGAGGTGGCTAGATGAAAATGCAAAAAACGAAGTCCCCTTGACTTTTGGGTATTTTTACGAACCCCTTTGACCCCCACCATATTCCCTAAAAATCCTCCAAAAAACGAAACGTCGACTAAAAAAAAACGTCCCCAAATCGCCAATTTTGCGTGTGTCTTCGGTCACAAAAACGAAACCCCCTTTGCTTTTCGTCCCAAAAACGATACCACCTCGTGCCGAGTGCCGAGCCCTGCATATTACTCAACTGCTATTAGCGACATCCTTCGTTTCCTCAAAATTTTCGTTCGCTTTTTGTAAGACTATTTTGGGTGAAAAATCAGTAAAAATTACGAAAAATTACGACAAACATAACCAGCGCAAAATGGAGTCCCGCACAAAATGTTTGAGATACTTGAGTTTCTAAATTAGTGTAATTAGAACAAGTGGATAATTGCCAAAACCAATCTCTCATCAATCGCAATGTCAGTTAGTCCAGTGATAAGATAGAGAACAGAGGAAGATACACGAAAACAAAAACCAAAGCTGCTCTAGGCGTCAGAGCTGAGGACAACAAGCGGCACAAAATCATGATGTACGCTTGATAATTAGGAGACGGTACATATGTTCATAAGAGAAGCAAATTGTGATTAAATGAGTAAAACAATGTTCCCGGAAAAGATTGTCCTCGCATTTCATTTATTCTGAAGCAATGGTACCAGGTACAGCAAAAGGACCCCGCTTAGAGTGTCGTTGTCAAGTTAGTTTGAGAGCGAAGTAGAATGCAAAGATAGATCACACCCTGCTTTATTCGAAATTTTTGCATCTCCAACATATCTTTTAACAACTTAAATTTACACAGCTAACGCACACTTAGCCGCACGAACATCTGCGGGAAATCATGGAGCTGCATACCGTAAGATGCAGCACAGAACGCTGACTCTGTCTGCCTTTTCTATCTGCTAAGTGCCTTCGAGGACAAACTTATAAGTCATTATATTAGCCAAAGATTGTATGCAGTGTGCAAATTCGGAGATAGAGAGCCGCGTTTGGGTTTACGTTGACCAAAATGTGCGCTTAAGTTAATTTATAAAGCCTATAAGTGAAGGTAAGCTAAAAAGGCAATAATGTGCCCAATTTCTTAATTTATATGGCGGTTTCAAATATTGACTGCTCATAACTTCGTCTACAAAGGCGTTCAGGAGATACGAAGGCGGACCTAGAGTCAGCGTATTTTGCTACACCCAAAGGTGTGCTGCTTGTCTGGACTGGCCACTTTGACTTCCAACCACTTCCTTGAGAGCAAAAAAAAAAGAATGAACGGGTACAAGCGAAATGGCGACGTATTTCGATGAAAGGAGTAAGGCAAAGCTGCGTTTCTGTACCTGCGGCTTTCCATGCACTTGAGCCGCGAGAAAGCTACAGTCACCGCTGCAGATAAACTATGAACAAAGTGTTCTCAAGACCTATGTTGGCTGCTTCGATTATACGATGTTCTGATCCCAAATGTGACGGCAAATTTACTTACTTTCAAAAGCGTTCTGTTGATCTTCTTCTCAAAGTAAGAAACTGATATGGACGCAACTTTGTAGTTTGTCCTGCACTATAGCCATTGAGAAATGAAAGGCAAGGGATTTTTTTGCTGTGTGAGTGTAAAAAGGCTTTGTCGACTTCCTATGTCGCCGTCGAAGTTCAAAAACTTTTTATCATCTGCATTACCGCGCAATTTCTATTGAGTCTTATAATGTAAACTTATCAAAGCAGCGGACATAGAAAGTTCCTTACAGATAGAGACAGGAAAGAAAAAAGTCAAACAACGCAATGCCGTCAAATAGTTTGATCATCCTCACAAAAGGTATCAAAAGCTGTAAGATAGCAGATGGTAGAAAGTGAGATTCAATCGCTGTGGGTATGCAACTGGAGGACAGAGAGCAGCATCAAAATTTATAAACTGGTAAAAGCACGATCTCGGCAGCGATGCGAAGCTAGTCCGATCGATCAGTAATACTTTGCAAAAACGAATAATTAAATAAAACCAAGCTAGAGATGAGGTGTAATGTACTGTAGGAAACCCATACAGAAGAAGAAGAAGCAGAGAACACTTACGAGTATCAAAACTTGCTGGTGAAGGCGTTAGTGGTGCCTGCGATGGGGCTTCTGATGCACTTCGCAGTTCTGAAACATTAGAGTTTGGAAGTTCAAAGTGATATGGCCCATACAATAGCCAATTTGCAGAAGTATAAGCCAAGGGAAAATTTCTTTTAGAATCGACCAGCCCAAACACGCCAAAGGACTTCGTAACCAAAGGACTCAATAACGTGCGTATTGCGTGAGAAAATCGTGCGGCATAAGGATAGCCCGAAACACAGTGAGGTGGCAGAGCAGCTCGCTTGAATATTCAGAAAAGATGCGGCTTATACACCTCAAAATAGGGTACCATATAAGCCTGACTAGCAAACAACTACAGAATGTTTGTGTCTGATGTGCCAGCACTACCATTGATTGTTCGCTTCTCAATCTTCTCAATCAAAACAGTTGCGCGAAAGTAGTGGTTTATGAGGCTCCGAAGCTAAGTAAGCCACACACATCAGGGACTATAAGGAGTATGGGGAAATTGAACTATGCGACAAGAACATCACAACCGTCGAAAATTGTAATAAAATGTTCAAATGAGTACAGTAAGCACACAAGGCACTGTCGGGCTTGGACAGCGCTGCGGTTTTCCCCACGAATGGTGCACTGCAGCTCGAAACTGTGGACTTCAATACCCTCTCCTTCACAAAAATTGTAATATACCGTATACCCAGCTTAAGAAGCTTTGTACTGCTTGACCCAAGACGAAAACTCATGATTTTGCAAAAATAACGCTGGTCTCTAGGTAGCAAATAACCCCAGTGGCGCACTAAAATACTGAGTTGAGCGTATCTGAAAGTCAAGTTAAACAAGTTGAATAAAATTGAGACTCTACTACACGTATTGGAAGTCCACCTTTTAGGATGGTACTGCGCCTATTCAAAATGATAATCACTGCCAATTCTGAGTTGTTTGATTGTTAGTAAGATGTCGATCCTTCAATCTCATAGCTAGAAACCATTTGTAAGAAATACATAATTGTAGTTTGCCAATTCGATTCAGACAAAGGAGTGTAAAGCTTGACTTGAATATAAGTTGTGGTGCCTATTCAACAACATGAACAATGGAGTAAATTAGAATAGAGCTAAAGAAGTGCTACGTATCAAGTCTAACAAAACTGAGTAAGTTAAAAATACACCCTCCTCCATTTCAAACTTAGACGAATATGATGCAAAGCAAAAGTTACAGTGAGATCATGCACATTATTATTGTGAGAATACAAAAGGACGATTACGCTGAGTGAGTATAAATGAACATCTATTTTCCTCAACTGTATGTTATCTAAGGAGGATATCTTATAACCGTTTATTCAAAGTGAGAGGATCCCAAGTAAACTCCTGCAAAATACATTGACGAAACTACTCCTTCAGCGGTCATTCACCCCCCCCCCCTCTCCACGGCCGAAAGCGGGCAAAAACATTCGCTTTGCATAGGCTAAAAGATTTCAAGTATAAACAGCAACTAACAAAAACTAAGAAAAAAGCAGCAAAATCAAAATCATCTCATCACAACGAAAAAAAACAAACAAATGAAATCTCGTATAAACATGCCCAGATGCTAACTTGCAATTAACACATCAATTTCAAAAAATCAAACCGAAGCAGGGTACGTACCTGATGAAGAAGAGTAGTGAGGTGTGCTCTGATGTGAGTTAAACTCAAACGAATTCAAGTGGGCCATGGACGAGTCTAAAATATCGAAAATAGAATAAACCATAATTGAGAAGAGCGGAGTCCTACCATTTTGCGTCAAAGGTTCGGAGTTGCATTGTCCAACAGCTTCAAATATTATATCGTCCATATTGTAAATTTACTCCTAAAATGAGAAAATCGAAAATTAGCCTGACACACAACAAAGTCGGATAAGACCGAGTAAATATCACAGCTAGACTAGAACATGCAAGTAAGGGCCAATATGAAGTAGCATGATGAGAAAACTATAATCTGCCGACTTCTGCAAAAAGGTGTTTATACCCCCGTTACACTCTATGATTACTGCTTGGTGCAGTTGATCGATAAAGAGACTGTGAACGACTGGGACTGATCTAGCAAAGATCGCGCGCTATTGAAGCAGGCGAAAAAAACAGCTGAGCCCGTCGTGCGCTAATCAATGGGGGGAAGGCGACAACTAGGCGTCGTCAAGTCGGGCACGTCTTCTTCATCTGCAAGTCAAAGCTTTTCGCTGACGTCACTGGCGGGTGGCGAGGCGCCGAGGCGAGACACGGCATACGAATGCCTCGCCCCACGTCACGTGCACCTCGCGCCGGCAAAAAAAAGTCGCCGGGCGCGTTTGGGGCGGAAAACCATTTGGCGAAGCGTTCACACCTAGTGAAGTCCTGCGTTGCAAGATAAACTGAGCTAATGGAGAACCTCTTTGTGTGAACAGAGGCTCCATTCGTCAGCTGTGGAACCTACGCGCCTTAAATTGCCTCTCTAGCCATGTTTTGTTGTCCACTTTGAGTCCATCACCTATAGCGGCGATCAATGTTGCAGCGAAAAACAGTCGAGTGGTTTGATGAGAGAAGGAGAGAGAGAGATAGAGCGACAGAGCTGCCGAGGTGGGCTGTTCATGGAGGTAGACACTCTCTTGCCACCGCATTTTCCGCCTGCTAAATGAATGAAAAACAACGCAGAATACTAGAAATATGACAACGGTTCCTCGCATGTTCTAACACACCGCGACGACAGCTTTGCGGCCATGCTGCAGCTTAGTGAGGCTGGTTAGACAGGAAACAGACGAAGATAAAATTTCTCTACAATCTCGACCAAATTTCAATGAAGAAACACGAGAAACTCTTGGGATCTCTGGACTCCATGAATTCACGAACAATGGAGAAGGGATCCTGGGACAATAACTCAATCAATTAGCGTAACAGTAATTCAGGGTTGTTGAGTGAACTAAATCTGTGAAGAAAAATCAACAAAATAAAGCTGTAACACGCATGTTCCTCAGTACACTAAACAATTATCATGCACATTTCATCATCAATTTTAAAAAGAAACGGAAACTAGAAATCTCTTTGTTTTTAGAATTAGACCAAACCAATCCGTACTGTACCATACTGTAGCCGGTGTGAGCGATTGAGAGTTCAAAAAATGCAGTGTAAGTAATCCAATTTAAGATTAGTATGAATCAAGTACGCAAGATAAGCACATATTCCAAATTTGAAAGGCAAAGGTTATCTAGGCAATAATTCATTATACAGCTAATTGCTGCTGGTAAGAAAACAAAATGCGATCTAATGATACAAAGGACCCCATTACTTTGCAAAATATGAACGAGCTTTGAAGGTTCATCGGGTCCAGCTGGCAAAAAAGTCAGTAAGGGAACGGCCATAGGTTGTCGATGTTGTTGGTGTTGTCGGTGTTGTCAGTGTTGTCGGTGTTGTCGGTGTTGTCAGTGTTGTCGGTGTTGTCGGTGTTGTCGGTGTTGTCGGGGTCAGAGACAGTTTAGAGAGCGCGCGAAACGTGGAGGCTATCATGAGGTCCTACAACGACCGGCACCTCGGCAACCCCGACAACCCCGACAACACCGACAACACCGACAACACCGACAACATCGACAACACCGACAACACCGACAACACCGACAACACCGACAACCTATGGCCGTTCCCTAACCCAAATTTCCGCAATCAAAATTTGCCCGAGCGCTGCTTCCAAGTGTCGCGCAGCAAACGTTCAGATCACCATCAACATAGCATTTGTTGAACTTAAATGAACTTCTTATGATAGGGGGAGGGCTGGAAAGGCTTATTTATTATTTGCTACACAACACTTTATATTATCCGAAAGTCTTCTCGGTAGCACGCGTCGGTCCCTCTCACATCTTGCAAGCTTCAACAATTTAGTCGGCTGCACAGGAGAGAAAGCAAGCTTCGAACATGTTTTTCCAAGCATAACTTCTATACTGTTGCAAAGACCTGTTTTTTTTTTTCAGTATATAACTTCTGACTTGTTGCAAGGCCCCTAAAAGACATAAGCACTCACAGGAGCATGTTCAAGCATGTTTCTTCCTTCTGGAAAGCTCAAAATTCACTGTTTGTAGATAATGACTGATTCTTCCCCTTCCAGAAATGCCTCTGCTACCCAAAAAGCGGTGATTATAGGTTGTTTATCTCGCTCCTTCATATCCACTAGAACAGCGAAAATGTAGCTGATGTGGAGGGAAGCCAATACACAGCCGTAGGCAGATTTTGTCAATCATAAGTGAGCATATCACCAGAAGATTTTCAGAGCAATTCTTTTTATCTCTCATTTTCTAAGAGGAGAAGTGGTAACTTAGTATAACATAGCTTTAACTCGTCAAAAACTTGCCTATTTTTCAGAATCTATGCGTTGTTGCTCTTGTGAGAAACGACTTGTTGGATGAGAAACACTGGGAATTAACGCTCTTAACCCATTGACGACGACGCCTAATTTTGCATGGCGGCGCTTGGGATGACGCGATTTTGCACAACACTTTCGGCAAGCGGAAGTTCTGTGAATATTTACGAGATGTAAAAGTTGTTTTGTAAACAACTACGATCACCTTCTTGGACGACGAAGTCTAGGGATTCAAAGAGTGCAAAAAATTGGGAGAAATACCGAAGTGAGGAAAAAATACTAGACTTGAAAAGAATATAATTTCGCAAGGGGTGTGGGCCACCGGTGGTCCACATCGTCGTCAATGGGTTAAGATGTGCCGCCATTGTCTAGTGCGGTCATGTCCTGGGCAGCAGAGTCATCCAAGAAGCAGAGGAAAATCCAAACAAATGCCAAAAAGTTGAACGTTTCCCCTCTGCTCTCTCTCTATTTCTTCACGGGCAAGCCCTTACCGGACGCTCTCGACGCTTCTCCGAGCAAACGCACACTAAGTTTCACCGTCTGCCGTCTCTTCTAAACACGCACACGTCTTTCTTGGACGCAACGGCGTCCAGTCTCTGCGTGCGATGACTAGCCTACAGATATGTGAATAAAAGTAGTGAAACATAGTGACGGAGCAGTTCTTGCCTTACTGGAAACAGCTAGAGAATAAGCGAGAAAGATTGGCCTTTTCAAACGTGACCGTCAGCAAGTCTGGAGGTTGTAATCAGGAATAGACGTACAGTCTATATCTAACATGCCAAATCACAAGATTCAGAAGTTTGATAAAGCAACATTTCGTACTGATGTCGTTGAGATTACGCAACCACGTGTCTACCCTCATATGTCTATAACATTTTCTAAATGTAGAACGCACTCCAGAAAAAAGCTCAAGCACAGAGGATGGGGTCGAACGCTCGAGGATTGAATTGTTCCAAAAAATCCCGCGCACAGCTGCTAAGGTTACGGTCCTCACAATGTCCCCAATGTTACCATGTTCATTTAGTAGTCTTATACGATGAGCTGGTCCATAAGTTCACTAGCCCTATTTTGAAACTAATAGCTACGTCCAACCCGTTGGTTCCGAAGATTTGGAAAGTTGCATTGATACCCGAAATTGCCAATAACATGAATTATATGACCCACTCGTGCTTATTGAACGGTTTTGAGCCAATATGAGTTTTTTAGAAAATGCTGAAAACTGATTTTGATAATTTGCATTCTCTGAAAAGAATTATAATTCTGTAGAAGATCGCCAGAAACATTCTTCAGTCGAAAATAGTGGGTTTCATGCATATGTTACTTCTTAGTTCGGAATTTGCTGCGAAGTTTCTGGTAGTTGGCGAGTCAAAACCACTAAACTCACATGATCTTTTTATTCTCTTACGTTGAAAAATTTGAAGTTTACAAAAAATTTGAAATTAAATTTGAAAGTTTAAAAATTACAAGGTGGTCAGAAAAGCCAGAATACTCCTAATTTCTGAATATATGTGAGCACTGAAATTATCGGAATAATTGATGTTAGCGTTATGATAGATTAATCGTTTTGAAAACTTGATTTACCATTCAAAGGCAGTGTCCACACTAAAACTAACTCCTTCCGATTGGTGCCGATCCGGAATGTAGGCCCCAAGGAGCAGCGTCTGCGTCGGTCCGGTTTTCTAATGTTGTTTCTGAATGGTGATAATGGACCTGGAACAGCGAAAGTGCTGTCAAGCCGCGCCCAGATCCAATCAAGCCCCGCCCAGCAAAGGACTGCCTCGCGACGTATTGACATCGTAGTGAGCAGAAGCTGCAAGGTGGACACAACCTCCACGCTGGCACGCCGACGAGGACGAGTAATCCAAAACTCGTCCGCTCTTTAAAGAGAGGGAATCCGGGAGCCTAGTTTTTGTGGGTTTTGGAGAAGCTGCTTCGTAACTGCAATGAGGTCCACAAAAAGCCCCAGAATGGAAAAAAAAACATGGGAGGCGAGATCTGAGTGGACGCTGCCTCTAAACTGCTTTACAAACGTGTAGAGAATTATTTACTGGGTACAGTGGGTACATATCCCATTAAGATCACAGGTGTTATAGAAATTTATCGAATTACAGCCAGTATTGTAACAGACGTTTCTTCCACAATGGCTATGAAGGACGATTGGTGTTTTGCTTCAACATGTACATGGCTGCGGCCAGCTCATATGGTACAGAAGGGCACGCGAGATGTCGACGCAAGAGAGTCTTAGGAAATCAAACATTAGCCAAACTTTTTTGGGAACCCCGTATAGAAGTGGAACATGAAGAGCGAAAAGTGTTATAGGGACGGGATGGTGTGTGCCGTCATAGTTTATCGAGCGAAGACACTTGCTAGCTGGTTTAATCATATAGTAGAACCATTAAAAAGGGGGATATCTCTTACCGAAAACAATCGCATTACATCTGCACGAAAAAATTTCTCCAGGGTGTGTGTAACGCCACACACCAATATTCGAGAGAAACTCTGCCCCCCCCCCCGGAGCGGAAATCCTTGGACCGCCAATGGTACTCACAGAGGCTGCGTCAGTCGGTGCTATTTGTCCTTCTACAGCAAAAGGAACAATCAAGGAACGCGATATGTATGTTTGATATGAGCAGAAAATGAGAAGTTATTCGATGTGGTATTTATACCAGTATCAAGTCTATAGGCCCAGTTTCCTTCTCACAGGCCACATTGGAGAAAGGGTGAAGACATTGGGTCGCCGAAATGCACACTTTTCTACATCAGGGCTCGTGTTAGATGCCGCGAGGATGGAGCCTAATGGGTACCCAATGTCCTCTACCCAAGGACCGGGCCAACGCAGATGCCTCACTTCTAGGGCCTGATGTAGAGTTCTTCAATCAAAGAGGATGGATTTTGTTTTGTCGCTGGCTTCAACCTAAAAGACTCTAAAACATGACTGGAAAATAAAATTTGACCGCCACTAAAGCAAAACCAGCGCTTGATTTTTAAGACAATAGTGCAAGGTTTTCTTTCACTCTACGACTCTACGAGATCTCCGCTGTCTAGCACTCACCAAGTCTAGCTGTGCGTAAATGTATCCTGGAAAAACATCGAGATTATTTTCTGCATTGGTTTTGATCACGCATTTGGAGACTAGACCGTGTAAATTAAAGCGTACTGGCCATTAGATATTCTGAGTACTCGAGAAATCTTTAACATAAGTATGGATGGAAAACATATCACAAGAAGCTCGGTCATCAAAGCGGATCTTCTCCTGGTGTCGTGTTATCCTATTTTAGTGCCAGAAAAACGAAAAGCTGGTGAATTCTGAGTGCTGACCGGTTATTTCGCTTTGAAGTGCATCTAATCTAAGTCCCTCTAAATATAGAGATTATATGAGAGTAACTAAATCAAGTTCTTCTCAACCTGAATATGAAAACCATATCTCGAATTGTACAATCCATCCCTCATCTCCAAATCATCTTATACTTACATACAGCAAACCTGAGTGCTGTGACCAGCATAAGCTAAGCCGACACAAAGACTACAAGTACATGTATGTGTTAGCGCGTAGCAGAGGGAATAGAATAAGCGTCAAGGAAGTGAATGAATGAAGGAAGTGAACGTTCCCTGACGTCCAAGCTTTTTGACAAAGATCTTTTTTGAATTTTCATAGACTCGTGTGCTTTAATTATACTTCAGGTTCTGAGCAATTATGGATTGAAAGTATGCAGCATATAAAGTTGCGGCTGCGCCATAACTGCTCTTTCCTCGTTGATGCGATCTTACTCTCTGTAGGCGTTCATACACGAACCCTGAGGAGAATGTTTATACTTGGAATAGAAGCCTTGTACCGGGGTTAAGAACTAAATACATTCGATAGTCAAGCTGATATGCAAGGAAGCAAAGTTTTTGTGGATACAAGCAGTGATTGATAGCGGAACGTTTGAGCGATATGCAGTGGAAGCTGTCTACAGAAAACAAATAATTTGAGGGAAAGGGAAAGTCGGTTGTACCGAGTATATTTTTCCTGTCTTGCACATGACGCTTACTTCAGTTCCTCGAGAAGATTATTGGAGATGAACACTTGGGAGGCGCCCCACTTTCAATCCTAGTATTGAAAAAAACGCTCTTGAGATCAGGGTCAGAAATAGATAGAATTACGCAAAGGACCATGAGTACTACTCACATAGAACCTTGTTGTGGAAGATGAGGTTTGCTGTACGGGTAAAGGCAAAAGCTAAATGATTTTTGATGAAGCATACCTTATTAGAATAGATCTAGACCAAATTCACATTCACTTAAAGTAGAGGAGCGACACTCACTGATTGCTGTGCGCTCTACACAGGCCAGGAATGCAGCTGATAGAGAGACGAGAGAGCGAAATCAGCTCGCTAGCTAGGTGACGTTCCGACAGAATAAAAACCAGAGAAGTTGTCTAAAAGAGCGAGTGCAGTTGGATACGTAGAAAGGATGCTAAAAAACCTCAATGTCTGGTAAAACCCGCCTTCAACAAAAACCTTTCCCCAATTATTGAGCCTGCGCTGCATTAACCTGTAGTGAGCTTCTCTAAGTAAGGGTAATGAACGCAAACAAATCTGCTGTTCTTTGTGGGTGCGTAACTAATGATTCTGTTGACCAACTTGGAGTTGACGAACGTCGAGAGCGAGTATTAGCATTACAGATAATGTATGTTTATATGAAAGGAAAATATTACGCATAACTGTAGATGTACGCGCTCACTTTTTGACTTACTCAGACTAGATTCGATTTGTCTTACTAATGAGGCAATAGTATATCTAAAATTGAAGTAATGGGCATCAAAAGCAAAGAATGTTCGTGCGTTTGTTGATTATGTACGTGCAAAGCAGTCTTTTAGGGCTGCCATTTCAAGGAAGACTGGTTTGTCCTACTTCGCTTTTTTTAACTCAGAGAACGACTATGCACTCAGATAATGTATTTGTGGAGCGTGTATGGATACTAAACACGAAACAGAATGGGATGCTTTGTCTTACCTATAGCAGAAGGGATCTGTCACCAATAAATCTTACGA